CATTATTTTACTTCCCTGGAACAAATGTCTCACTTCCCCAAAAAACTGGGCGTGTACAATGACAGTGATGTAGACGAGCTGAATGATGCGGGGGGTGTTATCTGCATGCAGATTTTTGGAGTGCTTCAGAAATGTAGGGGTTTTACGGTGCGTTACGTAGATGCTTAGTCAAACTCTTTTTCTTCCTCGTCATTGTCTTTTGATGGGATGTGTAGTTCTAGCACAGGACCACAGAGGGTTGTTTGTAAATCTACAACAGCTGATTCTTTTAGGAGTTGTTTAACCTTAGCTCTTGCTCTATATCAGATGCTAACTTAATATTTCATGCTCGTCTGCCCCACATGTAGATGGGGCTTATCACTAATTCATTCTCAGGATTTTCCCTGTGTTTGAGTCGTCACTCATTTCCACTTCCTTTTGTCTAATGCTATCCACCCATCGCATAAGTCCATGTCCCTCAGTACATTAGGACTATAACATTTCTCTAGCTTGGATGAAGTCAACAGAAACCATGTGATACTTTAAGGGTCATTTTTAGGATTTCCCCATAGGGAAGGGGTCATGTTTACAGTGAAGGTAATTGGTTTGTTGGACTCAGCAGACACAGCATTTTATCCTTGAGGCCATTATTCTTCTGCATTTGCTGAAAAATAGGCTATCCAGCCACAGCATGTCTGTAATTAATTTACGCCTGAAACTGAAAGCAAATCTCCTGCTGTGATTTTTTACTTTCATGATATTCTCAAGGAGGACGAGGTAATGTCCCCTCATCAGTGAAGTGTTATAAAGGAATGAAACTGCCCATTGGGCGAGATTGTGTTTGACCTTAAGGTCTACTGTAACTACCTAGGTAATAAATTGTGTTAAATGTGCTGTGAGATCTAAAGTAATTGCAAAATGACTTATTGTATAGGTTAAGTGTAAAGTGTTGAATCTGGTCAGATCTTTTCAGGTATAGTGGCTTGAATATCTCCTGTGGTGATGGTCGATTTGTTTCTCATATATGTAATATATTATTGTATCATATAGGCCTGCAACTTACAATTTACATATTTTGTTAAATAATTTAATCATTTGGTTTATTAAACATTAGAACATTAAAAAAAATGCCCGTCAAAATTCCTGGAGCCATTGGCGACTTAAATGCATTGCTTTGTCTTCTAAAAACACTCAAGATGTTAAATTACCTCCAGTTTACTCCAATCCAGAAAGTTCTCAAATATGAGCACAGTGTTTTTTCCTACAAACATAATAAATTATTTTATTTATTGACTCAGGCCAAAGGACAAACATAAGTGCAGTGAGGACAAGGTGCGACCTTGACTGAGTAGTTATGACTTTGGTAGCTATTTTGCTTTTAGAACTTAAGAGATGGTTTGCTTACTGGGATTCTTTTTTTGCTGTTACAATGAACACATGCTTACCTAAGTAATGAACATATGCTTAAGTGCCTTTCAGCATTTTTGCTAAAAGGTTAAATATCTTTCACTTCTTGTAAACAATGATTTTTAGAGCTGAAAACCTAATAAGATCTTGGTACCCTCTACTGTTATATGTTACTATGTTTTTAACTATTTTTATATTTTTTTAGTTTTCTACCTGTGTTTGTAATTCTTGTTTCTATTAGTCAAATTCCTTGTACGTGTAAACCTACCTGGTAATAAACCTGATTCTGATTCTGATATCAAATGGGCAGTTCCTTATAATAAAGAGCTCATATGATAAAGAAGAAGAAGAAGGAACTATGTTGTTTATTATCAGTCAGATGTCACATGAATCACAAAATAACAGCGTTTCAACACATTGGACAGTGCTGTGTTAACACAAACATTATTGCGGTAATACCTAGATTGCTCTGGATGACACAGTCAAACAGAGTAACAGCTGAACACAGAAGTGACAACAAGAAGCTGAGAGTTTGGTGTCAGAGCTGCTCAGTTGTCTTCAGCGCTTCTGTCGGCCTCGCTGACTCTAAGTAGCCGAGTGCTGCTATCTGCTCTGTTTCCATTAAGCTAATATGTGAAACAAGAGGGCTTATCGCAGAGCTGTGATGCCCAGACTGTTATTCATTTCTATAGAATGACCTGTCAACACTTCTGCCAGCTGAGTGTGAAACCTCCTGAGCAGAACAATCCAACTTTCTCATGTGGTCCAAACATGTTTGACTTTATCAGGCTGGTGTCTTGGCTGCTTTTCCAGTGTGATTATATCATAGACTGTATATATAAAGGATATATAAAGGATTATATACATGTTGTCATCATGTGACTTGGATCACCATACAGTACAAAATAACATCATCATCAATTACTCTAATAACATTTCCTTTTACATTTGAGATGATATGGATATTGCAACAGAAATAAAAATAGTAAAACCGTCTTTTCAGAATATTATTCAGCACTTTATAATTGCATAAAAAGGTTGAATTACATGTTCAATACAAAACAACAAATTCTGGACACTCTCGAACCACATTTTTAAGCACTGTACTAAAATGTCTTACCTCTCTTAATATATACGGATAACCATGAATGATTTACAAAAATAGCGTATGATTAACATCATTCCATAATTTCCTATAAAAGAGTATTTCTCCTTCTCTTTTTAAATTGTGACTAGTCGGCTGTAGTTTGTGTAAAGATAGGGAGAATGGAGGCAATAAGAAGCGACACTTTAAGAACAGCCACCTCAACAGGGTCACAAGCAATGAACAAGGGCAGTGTGTTTGACTGGTGTGAGCCACGTGTTTGGACGTCTGCTGCAGGACTCCTCTATGTTCTATGAATTGTTTACAAAAGGTCATCTGGATGGCAGTGGCAGATGGTCCGGCTCAACAAGAGGTGTGCTCCCCGTCCAACAGGGAAGGGAATATCTGAATGACATGGGCTGTAAATAAGACATCCACTGAGTACCCTTGTGCTGGCATAAGTACGTCTCAGGTAACCGCGAGGAATCTTGACTCTGCACAGAAACACTGAGCCGACATTCAGGATCCCAACACCTCAAACTTGGCATCGTGTCTCCCTCAGTCCTTAGCAGTTGCCTAAAGTATATAATTAGCATCTGCTATTTTAGAAATTGTCGTCCCCGTCTCAACACTTCTATCTTACACTTCTCTCTATTTTTGGAGAAGGCATGTGAAGTTATTTGGTAACACTTTAACAGCACTTTTTGGTGTACATTCATTGGAATATACTCAAACACTCATGTCTCCTTTTCTCTCTATATTGCTATTTGAATACATGTTTTACATCTTATAACATCATTGAGATTTAATTATATCAAGTTACTGGTAACCAAAAAAATACAGACTCCTTTTGATTAAACATCAAGAGCAGTATAAGATTCATGCGAGCCGCTTACCCCCTTTTTAATATTCCATATCATGAAGCTGCTCCTTCTGAGATTTCGTTCTACTTTCAGTGTCACAGCCTGAAAACTGTTTTCATTGCCAATTGAATGTGTATTGTTTATAAAAACGTAGGCCCTTGTTCACCATCCGGCTCTCACTACGAGAGTTTTCTGCTGGATTTGTCATTGAAAACATATTACAGTAAAGCATTAGTTGTATTTAATGCCAGCAGGGGGGCAGTGTTGCAACATTGGGGAAATACACTGTTTGTTTTACTGGAAATGAAAAGATGCTCAAACTGCATACTGCTAAAGCGCATATTTATAGTTACAAGAACATTTTTCACAGATGTACCATGATGGGCACATAAAGGATGTATAATTTGATCCATCAAAAAGAATATTTTAATGATGGTTAAAGCCTGAAATATACAATAATGTAGCAAACTTACCTCTGTCAGTATGTATACAGTAGTTGTAGGTTTTATATTTCCAGTTACTATAAATAATACAACATTATTGTAATTTTGAAGGCACACATTGTTGAACCTCAGAGAGTAAAAGAAATGGTGAGGATCATTGAATTTGAAATGTTAGTAAATAAGTGAATAGCATCTGATAGCAGACTTGAAGTTTACCATTGTGATAAGTTTACATACACTTAAAATAATAAGATTTGATTCTAGCCTTGAGTTGAACTTTCAATATGTCGAACTTCTCACAGACATTGAATACATAAAAAGCGGTTAATTGATGACTGTGATTTGGTATATAACGTTTTGTTGGTTTTCCGGTAGCTTGAAGTTACTGGTAATTACAATCATTAAAGGCAGTCTTTATATGGATGCAAGCAGTTGGCTGAGAGGCAAACATCTGCAGTCCGTAAGAAGGAAACAACTCTATGAAGTGCTCTAAAGCTTTGTTCTATATGATACTGACTTTAGTCATGGTATGATGCAAAAACGTTTTCCTTGTGTAAGCTCAACAAGTTGCTTTTGCTTTGGTGGGATTGATTTTTCAAAAGCGCATCTGCAGTTTTGTGACCTGAAACAACAATAACACATTTAAGTTAGGTTTCTTAAATCTATTTGCACAGGTGGAAATGAAATCAAGAAAATTGCACATTTCCCAAAGGTAACACTAAAAATCAATGTGAATCAAAAGAAAAAAGCCCTAACCTGCTTTTATATTATTGTCACTAGAATAAAAATAATAAAAAGCAAATAAAAGTCTTTCTTTTTGCTGTTTTCTCATATTTCATTTCATTTCAAACCTTTATTTATACAAATGAATCCCATTGAGATCATTGATCTCTTTTTCAAGGGAGACCTGCTCAAGTAGTTCCACATGAAACATAAAAACATAAATAGAACAACAAAAGGACAATATAATGTCAATGTCTATATTGCTTCCCAGCCATAAGCCCTTTCCTAATTTCAATGTGTAAACTATTCCATAAAATGTAATTGTTCCACTACTCTCAAATGAGTCATAGTGAAACTTGCACATTGTTGTCTAAAGTCGAAAAATGAGTCAAGATCATCATGAAATGTCCCTCCCCTCTCCTCCCTCCCTCCCTCTCTGGCTGTTTGATGGGAGGAGCTTCAGAGTGTGTGCGGCCAGAGGCAGGCTGTAGTATGACACAGTGTCAGAGAGAGTATGGACCTGCGGACCAGCTGTCATCTACTACAGCTTTAAACTCTGTCGTTTCTCTGGATTTTCTTCTGGCACTTCCTGGATCAATATTTGTCACCTAAAGAAAACCTTTGTTCCTACATCTGAAGGAAGTTGTTGTTCCAGCTCAGTGGGTCCGAACGCAAGTGGGGCTGTTATAGAGACAACCCCTGTGTTCATTAACTGTGTGGTGCCGTGGCTTCATGAATCATTGATGTGAGTATGCCGCAGTTCTGGTTACCTATTTAAAAGATGCCAGGATAACCCTATCATTTCCCTTTTAGAGAATTGTATAAAAAACTTTTTATGACTAAGCCTGTGTGGGGTTTGTTGTTAGTTTTCTCTCTTTAAAGGGAAAAGTGTGTGTGAGCAGACACGAAACAGCCCTCCGCCCTCTCCAGTAGGTCTTTATCGCAAGGTGATAGCAGGGCAAAGGGGGTCATTAAAGACCCAGTCTGTGTGTGTGTGTGTGTGTGTGTGTGTGTGTGTGTGTGTGTGTGTGTGTGTGTGTGTGTGTGTGTGTGTGTGTGTGTGTGTGTGTGTGTGTTGTGTGTGTCTTGTGTTTGTATTCGTGTGAGATGTTGTATGTGTAGGAGCTACCCTTGCATTAACAGATGTTTGTCTTGGACTTTTGTCCTATGGAAACACAGCTATTTACCAGGATGTGATCGTATTTGAAGGCTTGCTGGCATATGTGTGAGTGTCTTTAATGATGCAGAGGAGGAAAAAAAAGAGGATGGCTCCTAGTTTTTAAGCTGAGGCACAACTCATCATGAGTGAGCCGGTGACTGTGAGTGGGGGCCTCTTTCCACAGATAGGAGTTAGTGAATGTGGCAGCCAGTGCACACACATCCTCTCCCAGCCTGCACACTGAGTGTGAGCCCAGAGGAGTGAGGAAAAGCTGAGAGGCGAGAACAGCAACATAAATATCAACAAGTCCTAATTGTCATGGTGCGTCAGCTTGTGATAGCTGAGAGTCAGCACAGTCAAGTAGTTGAGAAGTATTTTAGCGGTTCATGATGTGATGCTGCCAGTAAGACAGAAGCATCAGGTGTTATTGTGAAATTCAAGTTTCTCACCCACACGCCGCCTCCAGTACAATCAAGTCTAATGCCAAATAGATGTGGGAGGTAGTTAATGGTTAGAAACCATAAATGCAAAAGTTTGTTAAAAGTCAATGAGGTCAACTTAAGATTTATTTTAATGTTTTTGCTTACTTTTCAGTGTGCACTGCCAACTACCTTTTTAATTGGATAGCTCTCAAGCTCTGTCCACAACGACGCGTTTGACAAAGCAAGTGCTTTTATAGCAACAGTAAAATGTTATTTACACCATTAGAGTCTTTTTTTGCTTATGTTATATTTCAAGATCAGCATATATATTTATACAAATGTTTCCACCTTATTTAAAACCCATGAATATGCAATAGAATTTCAGGATAATCAAGTCACAAGCTTCATATACTGTACATTAGGTCGTAAATCATTGAATAAGTCTCAGTTACATTGCACTTTGTTAAATGTTGCTTTTGTCAATACCCCAACTTTTCTACATCTGCCAAGCTATTTGCAGGATTTGTGTTACTTATCCACTAAGGTTGAAAATGTGCATATAAAAGCAGGTGAATGGAATCCAACCTACAGACATTTCCTACAATGATCAACAAACATTCAACACGGGGGATAAATGGGAATAAATAGGAGCTTTCATTCATTTTTGAGGATGGTTGGTTTTTTCCACAAGAGGGTGGAATATAATCGCCTGCGCTATCTCATTTGAGACAGAGAGAGGTTTTGTTTTCTGGCCTTGTATATGGAGATTCATCTGTCTGCTGTAGGAGAAAAGCCTGTCTGTGCTGACCTTGGCCTGCTGTTTTCTTTTGGTTTGATCCACAAAGAAAACAGCTGGCAGTTGCATTCTGGCTACCGGCGGCCATGACAATGAACTGCCTGTATGATGCTGTCAGAAAAGCTTTGGCTGGTTGGTAAAGCATGGTGCCTGTAATATCAATACCTCAAATCCAGCCTTCTTCACAAAAATATCTTTCATAACAGGGTGACAGTCACTGGCAGAGAAAGCCTGAGTATATCAGTGTTGCAGACTTTAACTGGATCTCTGAAACATTCCTTTGCTGAGTGATCACTTATCTGATGCAGTGCTGCTCTGCATCAAGTCTGCCGAAATGAATACAAGCAAAAGGATCAAATGGTGCTTCTTGTAAAGCAGCTCAAAGCAGTGAGCAACCTGTTGCAGATGACTAAATCTGTTTAGAGCGGAAGAGACAAAGAAGAAATAAATCATACTGCGCCTTACTGTTTTATCACAGCTTAATCCCTTATGCTGGCCCCATATGCACATGTTTCCATTTTGTCAGCATATCCCAAGGGCATTTTCTCAGCATTAGGCTACTCTGATCCTTCTTCTTCATCTGTTTGTATAGTCAGGTTCTCTTCAGGACTCTCTCCCTGTCATTGTACAGTATGTGAAGAAAGAAGTAGTATTCCTTTTTGGATGTTCTTTTATTTGCTGTTTTGCTCTCCATATTGTGGTATCGTGTCTTATGTTAGTTTAGATGTCCCGCCAATACACAAGTTCAAACAAAGATTGTGTGCAGATACAGTATAATTGATGTGACAAGTGCATAGCTGTTAGAGTTGGAGCTTGTATGTCTCTCAATAAATCCAAGGAACATATTTCAACTTTAGCCCAAACATTGTGTGCTTTCAGTTTCTCAAAGATACATGCTTATTGAAATACACAGATGAGCCAGATAATGTAAAAACCTTTGTAGGAACCTCCACACCATATTCAAATTGATCAAAATAGTACAATGTGTTGTATAGAAAACAAATGTAAACAACCTGGTTCGCCAAAAGCCACTTGTGATATATTTACAAAGCTCCATTGATAATGTTTTCACATCCTGTTTGTAGTGGGATTTGGAGTTTTGTCATTATGTCAGCTTGGTCAGAATGATACTGACCACAAGGAGCTTTGCATCATATCACATGATTTTTCCATCATCAGTTGTTCAATCACGATCTTTAGATCTTGTAATCTGACTGTTTCTCTTTCTGCTAAGTATAATGAGTTAGAAAAGGGTTAACAGTGTTGCTGAGGCAGAGGAGGGGTTGGATTTAGTGTGGCCAGCCACTTGTAACCTAAAGGTTAAATACAGGCCTTCAGGGAGTCCTATTACTGTGTACTCACTGATGGGAACTCTGCAAACATGCATTCTGGGAGCACAGCAGGCTTCTCCACTTATTCCCAGTCCAACACTGTGTCACGATGTGGGAAATGACTGCGGACATGGAACGTGGCCAGATCTCTGTATTTCCTCCAGTGTCCCACAGGCCTTGAGTTTAACCAGTATGAAACATGCTTCAAAAAACGTCACATGCGTATGAAGCGCTCCGCGGCATCGCCTTGTTCTTCCAGTGTCTTATTTTAACTGTACACAAGCCTGTGAAACCGCTTTGGCAAACCATGTGGAGTATGTTTACACGCATGTCAGCGTTTCTCATGTGTTGGTGTGAGAATCGCAAAGTTGTCTTTTCAGGGTGTGTTTCCATCACCCTTCACCTCACACCTGTCCCTCTCGCATGTTTAATTATAAAGTTCTATTTCAATACTCGTAGCTATGTGTACGTCTGACACGGGATTTAAGGGTCGCCTTTAAAGTTCCACTCGCAGCTAACGTGCATCAGGTTGTTGGTAGTGGTCGGATATGTTTGTTTGCTTCCTGACATGAGTACGAGAGGTGGACTGATTAATGGGATCAGCCTCCGACCGAGCCTTGTTTAGCGGCCTGTCCCTCCCCCACCGCTGTGATTTGATATCTCTGAGCATTCCAGGTTGTGCCCTTTACTCTTTAATGGTGCTGCGGACCCTTTCAGACATTCCTGCCGTAACTCTCTCATCAGACACGTCTAATTGCCTGACTGTAAACAACATGATATTTCATTTTATATCAAAATGTACTCGGACGTAGGTTGCAGTGAGATCTTTGATGCACTTTCCTGGTCTAATAACACACCTTTCACTCTTCTGACTGGCAGACAACGTTTTTCTTCTGTAACCTTGGACACAAATAGCGATGGGTGCTTTTTCAATCAGACATCCCTGCTGAAAGTAATGAATGGAGGAGGAGCGATGCTGGTAATTAGCCATTTCATGCTCTGCTAAGATCTAAACAGTACAAGGAGAGGTGAGCATGCACCTTTTATCCTACAAGTACACTCATTACTTTAATGGACTGAACATATTTAGTGCAACATGCTCTGGTCTGTGTTTTCTGTTTGGCGTCTCCCCCTTGATGATGAAGCCCAGAGTTGGAATGCAACTATCCCCGCGATGTGAAAGAGTTTTATCTGACTTTTTTATGATAAAATAGGAAAAGTCTGACTAGTGTTTGGTGTCCATGTGACACCGTATGGGTCTGTATACTTTATCTGAAGTGCCTGTCAGGAAGTCAAACAGCGTCTGAAACTCCCCCCTCCCCATACCTTTCTAGTAAGGGAGGCAGCCTCCAAAAATGTGGGTAACTTTATGAAACCAACATTCTAAACTCTTGAAGAAACACATAGCCAGTTGTGCTGGGAGTAGAAGTTAAACAGAGTTTTAACTTCAAGTATGTTTGGGAAGGCAATCTTTTCTTGTGCCTTCCAAGGTTTTCTTTTGAGAACAACTTACACTGTTGCCTTCAGTTACAAAACTACGAACTTCGTATGTTTCGAGCTAACCCCAGCCTTGACAACACAGAGATTAGCACAGTAGTAGCAAAAACAAAATGTTTTCTTTTCCAAAACTTGTAAAAATGGATCCTTGACACAGTAACGCAATCTCTTTGCTTCAATCCTTTATACCTGCAGTCTAAGAGATGGAAATGGAGATAGAGGAAGGGGGTTAACTGTAACAGAGACCACAGGACAGCAGCAGACTAAAAGCTTCCTGTGGCAGGACGGAGGGAAGCCAGAGCTGGCAGACAGGCTGGCTGGCAGGGCAGATGTTTTAGGTGAGAGGCACAGTAGATAGCACCGTCTGAATAATTCATCAGATGGGAGTGAAGATGTGATATATTAAGACACAGTAGCACACAAGCCATCTTATGGCCTCTTTCAGCACTTTTTGTTCAGTGTGAGTGGCTGCAGGGCGCAGATCCCCTCCATCTCTGCTTTCCTTCTGGCAGTTATCCACCTGAGCCCGGGCTGTGGAGG